GCGAATAATAGCAAAGATAAGAAAAAAGTACGTATCATAATTCGCAAATACAGTTTTATAAGCGCGAAAGAAATTGCAAAGTTTAAAGTAATTGAATATAAAAAAATGAGAGAAAAAAACGATATATTTCCCTCGAAAGAAATGATTACGTTGCCGTCCCGCGACGGAAAGAGTGCGACATGACGAGTAAATTACTGTAATCTGCAATTGCAATTTGTTATTGCGCACTGAGAAAGACTATTTTTTTTTTTTTTTTTTCAAGCACGCGCAGTGAGTAATGCGGCATTTCCTACCGGCAGTCCGTATTTCCTCGTGAATCGAACACAATGCTGCGCGCACCTGCCTACGTGCATTGTGCGTCTTGAAACATTTCGGAAGCAATGAGAAACGAATGGACAATTGATGAGAGAAAAATAGAGAGAAAAATAAAACGCAGGGCGATTGTAAATCCGTTTCTTTTATAAATAATATGAAACTGTAAGTAGAATATATCATATACGTGTATAAACTCTTTTACGTGTATTAAAACATATTTTTAACATAGTCTCATTTATTTTATTTGTATATATGTACATATATATCTTTTTCGAGCGATAAAAATTAATATTTCCTACATTTTTACTAGTTGTCCGTCGAAACTATATTGAGAGAAATGAAAATGTTCATAAACGTTACTGTACGGAATATAAAACCATGGAGAAGGAAAGTAACAAACTGAGCCCCTGTAATACAGAGAACAACATTTATAACACGATGCAACGATCATGTTTTAACGAATATAATTGCGATTTCTCACCGAAGCTAATCCTTCTGAAGAAGGACTGAACAATCCTCCGGCGTCAACTTTGTACGTTTTTGTGGTCTTCTGTATCAAGAACAGTATTAATTTTTGAGTCTTCGCCGGAGCATCGTACCACTGCGTATCGCATCTACGATTGCACAAACAAAAGTATAATAATATTAATCCCTTAGTACGTCCTTGCAAAAATAAATCTTTGAATCGTATAAAATTGTGAGTAAAAATTGAATTTTTGTTGCGAGAAACACATTTACATCGCTCGATGAACGCTACTATCGCCGTTTATGAACTCTTGTCCGGCAAAATTTCCCAACACCAAGAACAAGAGATGGAAGAATATAAATACGGTCGATTCAATAGCCTCGATGATTTCTCGCTTGGTCACAGCCGTGAGTAGCTGCAAGCGCGAAATTTTGGTTAAGAGCAATCTTGTCTCGATCTGTCGACATGTGTTGGACCAACGTCCGAGCTTTGACGTACTACTACTTACGTGAAAGAGATTAATGCTCGAAGAACACACGCTGAATAAAACCAGAAATAAATACGGTCGTCCGAAATTTATTCTCAACAATTCCGAAAATCTGTCGGCGCATCAACGAATATAGGCAACACACAGAAAGTAAAAAAAAAAACAAAAACAAATTATCTCAAAAAACTCGAAATTGCTTTTTCAAAGAGACAACACAGTGAAAGTAATACCGACTCAATCGCTCTTTTGTGGCTGTCCACCGCGGCAATTAGTCTGTTGCGGAATACAGCGTACTTTTCAGACGCACACAATTGCAGAGAGTCTCCACTTATTATGCGTTTCATTCTATATCTAGAGAAAAATTTCGTCAAGTCAACAAATCGAACAATATTCGACAAAACTATTTATCTATCAGCATCAATGTAATTGCAATATTGTATTTATTCAATACTCATTCTACTAATGTGTATTTACAAACAAATTTATAAACAAATGCGACATGATCAATGAACACGTACCTACAATATTTTTACTTACGGTTTACCTAGCAACTTTAAACATCGCGAAAGCGTGAAGCGCGTTCGCCAACACGTACGATTCGGCAACTGATCCGGTCGTAGTTGTGAGAAGCATTCCGCTGCCCGTGTGTATCGCCAGGATATGAAAGTACTTCTGCTGATCAACGAAATATGTCGCCATTATTACAAGCTTGCGCGGACGAGATTCGTTCAACGGTACTACAATGTCAAGTATACTCGGAATGTATTGGGTTAAGACGTGGAAAATTGATCCGAGAAAAACAAGCGCTGGAAAATTATGGTTCTTATCATTACTCATTTAGAAAATACTAACAATATTTTCTTATATGAAAAAAAAAAATCAAATTTAACACGTAGTGTGTTCTCAAATTCAACAATTTTTATTTTAATGGCAAACTAAAAAAAAAAAAAAGAATAATTTAAGAAGTAAGATAATTATTAACAATCGCTATATTACTGATGTGTGTAATACGTAAATGCACCATCGCTCACATGTTATGAACACCGTAAACAGTTTACCCACATTGGCGTACTTGTGCATTATATCGATCTCGTAGTCGTCTGTCAGAGTGCCCCAGTTATTTCGCATTTGACTTCGCAGTTCTTTTATCTAAGTATTGGCGACACGGTGATGTTATCGAATGAACGCACGACATTAATTTTCACATCGTAGTGAGATATTGTTAGATTTACATTGTCCAAGATGGCATAAAAGGTGATGTACTTTACGAACCACATTATTATCAGCGTGTCGGTGGACAGTACAGCCAGAATAAAATCGAGATTGTATTCCGAAACGAATATCGCTGCCAACTGAAAAAACAAAAAAAATCTCGTTCCCAAATACGAGTGATATTTTTTTATTTTAAAATATTTCTTCCGTTTCTAAAGAATTCGATGTGAACAATAAGATTTGTTCGAGATTCGAAATTAAGAGAATAAAGACGGTGAATCGCAAAAAAAAACAAAAAAAAACAAGTAGATACCTGAGCGGATATGATTGATACATAAAGCAGTACCGACAGTACGAATTTAATCTGACGGATGATAAAATTGTCAAATGGCCAGAGCCCGACCAATGACAGAAGAACGTAGTTGAGTTTGTAATACTGCTCTTCGGGAAACTTCATCTCGTCGACGACGGTTGAGACGCTACTAAAGATTCTATTGTGTCTATACACATCTCTTCCTTCGCACTTATTCGCTCGACGACGTTCGAACGAATTATTTTAATCGGCACTTTTTTTCTCTCTCTCTTATTCGTAACATTACGTCGTTGCGCGGTTATTAAGGTAAAAGGTATACTCGAGTAATTTGTAAAATACGTACATTCGCACGTGAGAAATTCAGGATGTGAAAAATGCTATAATTTAGAATACATAAAAAAAAGTGCGAGGTATTCTTCGAGAGGATATACACTGCTCTATTTTCCAAATAGACTATAAGTGTCACATTATTGCAATTTGCGGAGTGCGGAGTTAATGAGGCTTTTCTATTTTCTATACTCTCTTCTTTTTTCTGAGGTCGCGCACGCGCATCGGAGAGACAACGGGAAGTGGGAAAGACGGTGTCGTTATTTCGAAACAGCATTTCTCGATAACAGCAACTTCTATTCTATAAACGTGTACGTAACAACTCTAAAAACAAAAAAATAAATAAACTCTCGCAACCGCGTTACCGTGACCCTCTCATTCTTGTATTTTTACACCCTCCAATACTATAAATACTAAACAATGGCAACGTTTAACGGTATTTGTCTCGGTAAGTATATATTTTCACACCAAGTATCTTCGTCATTTTTGCATTGAACAGAGAACGGTGAAGTAGGAGAGCGACGCACTTGCGAGCTGAAACGGAACAATTTTCAAGTGTTGTACGCGATTTTTCTGTGTACACTGCATACAAATTTATTTATTACACAATATATTATTACCGCAGTAAAACCTTCTAACGACGGACTGTACAGCCCGCCGACGTCCACGCGATAACTTCGTATGGTTTTTAACATAATGAACAATATCTGTTTCTGCGTCCGCACAGGCGCGTTGTACCACTGCACATTGCATCTTCAGTAATTGCAGAAACGTTATATTATAATAATCGTTATATAATCAAGGTGTTTGAGCAATTTTGACAAAGCCGAAGATAGATTGATCTGTAAAGAAAAGTCATTTGTCACATTTCGCAATATTTATTGACTTATTAATTAATTAATGTGAGCCAATGAGCGCGTAAGTAGCAAATGGTCGGGACAATCCGTAGGCGTGTGTGACTTTCAGTTGTAAAGAAAAATGGCTTATCTCGTGCAATCTTCCTCAACAACAAGAAGCGGAGCAACCAAGCGGTGTGTGACGCAACTTTTTGCGATCAGCTGATTTTCACGGTGATATTCAACTGAAAATCGTACACGCACTACATAGTCTGAAACCTCTTGCTTCACACGCGCTCGTTGGCTCACATTAATTAATTGATAAATATTGCGAAATTTGCAAAATAATAAATGCTTTTTCGATTCAGACTCAATATATTTTCACACTTTGGCTTTTTCAAATTTTTCAGACACCCTGTACGTATATATATATTGTATATATATATATTTTTTTTTTTTCGTGCACTCTGTGATATTCAACTTGTGCGTCACCTACATCGTCTTGTAGACATCGTCATCGTGATCTATGAATTTCTGTCCGGCGTAATTAGTCAAAAACATGTAGATGAAGTGGCAAACGACGAACACGATCGATCTCAATAGTTCATTCACTGCGCTCGACGTCATGAACACTTGGAGGAGCTGCTTGTCAACAAGTCAATATAGATGTATAATTTTTCACGCACAATCGCGAATTTTATTGTTTTTTTTTTTTTTTTTTTTCATTGAAAGAAACTGCGACTTACCAGAAATAGATTCACGCTGGTCGAAGTCACTCCAAGTAATATTAAAGCCAAGTAAGGTATCGCAAAGGTTGTCTTGACAATTTCAGAAAATCTTAGCAAAAGCGAAAAGAATACAAAAATGCGAATATTTGAAGCTTGTATAAAATTGCAAAACAATATTACGTGTGTGTGTAAATTACTCGTAAGGTTAACACGTATCAATTTATCTACGATATAATAATTATAAATAAAGATTTTAAAAAATAATAAGTTTGATTTGATAAGTTTTCAAATAAATAATTTTTAAATAGTGTGTAATTCATGATACCGACTCGATTGCTTTTCGATGACCGTTCACAGCAATCACTACGTTGTTGTGAAAGTCGTGATGCTTTTCCGTAAATGTATTCGACGCGTTTTCATCGATTATATGCTCCATGCGATAACTAGGCGCGCAATAAACGAAAATTAAAACCAACACACTCCACTTGTTCGAATCGCAGCGCGGTTTTTTTTTTTTTGACAAAAATACGCACCTGGCTATTTTGAACATTCCGAACGCGTGTATCGCAAGTCCTAAACAAAACGACTCGGTGGACAGAATTGTCGTCGCGGCGACGATTAATCCGACATCCAAGTGAAATTGAATCGCGTGGAAATATTTTCTCTGATCGACGAAGTATTCGACCGAAAACAATAATTCGGGTTGTCGAGATTTGTTACTTGGCGCAACGACGTCGAGAAAAATCGGGATGTACTGCATGACGATAACCGTGGCGATACACACGTAGATCAATGCTGAAATAAATCAAAACTCACTTCATCTGGGATAATGAATCACGATATGATCGTCGTCGCGATCGATATAATATTTTCATATTTTATATTAATTTACTTGCTAGAGACGTGGTGGACAGTTTTGCCACTTTCGCGTATCGATGAATTATCTCAAGCTCGTGATTATTTCTCAACATGTTCCAATCGCTTTCAATTTGTCGCATTAACGCCTTTGCCTGTTATCGATAAATTTTCAATAAGTAATTTACTCTCGACATGAGATTATTTCTGTTATACAAAAAATAAGAAAAAGTTGTAAGATGTATTGCGATTTATAAAATATATGTACATTTTATATGTTTTGTACAACATTTATGTATACTGTATAGTACAACGATCTCTCTCTCTCTCTCTCTCTCTCTCTCTCTCTCTGATAATTAGTAAATATCACGTACCTTCTCTGTGACGAAATAAAAAGTGATATATTTTACAGTGAATAACATGAACGGCAAAGCGGACGATAAAATGGTCAACACGACGTCCACATCGTACTTTGTTATCGTGATCAATTTTATTAACTGGAAATAACACACGCTCGTTAAAAAAACGTTCACGTTTTGTCTACAGAAATGCGGTAATTAAATATATCGGATAACAACAAAATTTGGTAAAACACGTGAAATTTCGAGAAAAATTCATGCAGAGATAAATATCAACAAGTGAGAGCGACCATACCTGGGGTGACGTTACCGATATTAGAATAAACGACGATAAAATACCTTGAAGTTGCCGCAACACAATGTAACGATGCGGCCAGAGACCAATAGCCGACAAAAACATACGATTGAGTTTGTAGTAACGATCGCTACTGGAGTCCATTTCGTACAACGCGGGAAACGCCACTGCGTTTCGGGGCGCGAGACTTTCGGCGTACTTACACTTTAATCAAATGGTTTATTGTCTTCCAACAATATTTCCATATATCGGGTTGCAAGAAAAATGCTTTGTACACAATATATGTAATAGCGAGTGTTATTTCTCCAAATTGCTTCGTAATCGAGAAGTGAAAGAAAAAAAGAACTACATTTTTTCGTGCCTACGTACTCGACTGCTGTTACATGTCGAATTACTGAAATTACGGCGGGCGATCGATTAAGCGTCGTTTTTGTAATATCGCAAACGTTTTCTCTTTGCGAGTGCGAGTTATATTGACGCACGCGCACTCTCCGCGGATTTTTTGCGGGAGCTCGACGAGGAGTCATTTTCGCGCGGACAGTCGACGGACGACGACGGTAATTTCTGTTTCGCGAAGAAAAATTCTGTTTTAAACAACGTCTTGTATCTTCTGCGTGCAATTCGCACACAAGCTTTGTATTGTCGAAAAAGTTACAAGTTTCTGCACAAACATTTAGAAATGTGACAAAAGAAACTGCTAGCAGTTTCGGAAAGAAAAGTTTCACAATCGAGTAATTAATTAATAAATCCAGTGCAAGAGCACAAGAAAATTCAGACAAAAAAGTTTAACATAATTCGCAAAGGTGTATTGTATAAACAAACGGTATACGTCAATCGCGTGTCGGTTGAAATGTGTGTGAGAGCATGGTGGTTTCCTGAACCGAACACTTCGCCGAGGGGGAAAAATAGTCGCGTCATGCAACGCGTCAGCTAGTTTGCACGATGTGATCTTTGTACGCGTGATAAATTGACACGGACGGGCGCAATTATAATTCTCGCGATTTGCCGTTGTCAGTGCTGCACGGACGACAGCACCGTGAAATAAGATATCGACGTGGCGAGAAGCTGCAACAAGAAAAAATGATATTATAGCACGCTTGATCGTGACAACACAGACGCGTGATCGTCGCCGATATTTACCGAGGTAAATCCTTCGAGCGATAAAACAAAAGTGCCGCCGGTGATCAGCTTGCAGCTCTGCATGCTTCGATTCAGAATCAACAGTATCAGCTTTTGCTCCTGCAGAGGCACGCGGTACCATTGGGTGTCGCATCTGCAATTTCGCTCAAATCGCGCGCGTGTTACTTTAAAAAAAAAACTTTGTTTGTTTATATCTTTGTTGTTTTAGAAAATATTAACCCTTTGCACTCCAGTGGTGACTTTCACTCACCATGTGGTTTGATGCCGCAACTCCAGAGGTGACTCTCAATTATGTTTGTAAAGGTGTAGAGATATATAAAATATTAAAATTTTATACATTAATTTGTGTGTGTAATGATTTTAAGTCACTGGTAAGAAATGCATCAAAAGAGCTGCGAAACGTCTGGAGTTGCTGGGGCGCCGCGCGAAAAAGGCCTGGAGTGCAAAGGGTTAAAAGAATACAAAGAATTTGATTTTTGTTTTTTTAAATTTCTCTCTTCATTGTCAAGTAAATAAATCTTTAAATTCTTTGTATCGTTCTTAACTTCGTATCGTTGCCGGCGATTTGATGTTTTTTTTTTTTTGTTTACTCACACGTTCTTGTGGATGTTCGTGCTGTGATCAATGAAAACCTGTCCGGCGTAGTTGCCGCAAAATATGTAAACGAAATGAGCGACGACAACCAAAATGGATGTCAACAGCTCGTCGATGTCTCTTGTGGTAACGAGTACTTGAAAAACCTACGAAGAAAACCCGCGGGGGGAGGGTTTCTGTCTTACTCTTTTTTTTTTTTTTTTTTTTATTCGCACGACAGCGTATTCCACAAAAATCTTAGTATCGCGACAAACAACGTTTGTTACTCACGCGAAAAAAATTGATGCTCAGCGACACGACTCCAATCATTATCAGAATAAAATAGGACGTCGCTAAATTAGACCACAAGAGATCGTAGAACCTTCAATGATAAAAAAACAAGACAAGAGCTAACGAGGTTGAAACAAAAATCGTATCACGATTGATAAGATAGAATAGAAATTTCTCTTCTTCGCGTGTATTCTCTGATACGTGATGAGTGAAAATTATATTAACCGTGACCAGACAGACATGCGTGATGGCGTTTCAGCGATTACGAGCGACGCGTGTACTAACTGAAGGGCTCTGTTGTGAATATCTATTGCGGCGCTTATTCTCGCGTGGATCGTCGCGCTCTTCACGCATCGCAGCTGATCGTCCAGATCGAAGGCGTGTTGCAATCGGTAACTGTGGAATGAGGAGGAGATCGTTCGTGCCGAACGTTCGAAATTTGCCACAAATGAATGGGGAAGAAAAGTCTCTTCTCTAAAATCAATCGAGACTCTCTCTCTCTCTCACCTGGCGATCTTGAACATTCCGCACGCGTGGTGAACGTACGCCACGTACAGCGATTCCGTGGCCAGCACCGTTGCAATGGATATGACTATCGTTATGTACATGTGGCAGAATATGACCTTGAAGTGTTTCTCCTGGTCGACGAAATAATCAACGTCGATGGGAAGTCGGTGCTGGCGCGAAGCGTTCAGAGGCGCCACGATGTCGAGAATGTCCGGAAATAACACGGTCATCAGCAGAGCGATCGCGGATGTAAACCCAAATACTGTAATTGCGCGTGAATTTTTAGGATTTAGGATTATATGCGTTTCTTTACGATATTAACTTATATAGATAATTTATTTTTATTTTTATTTTTTTATGTTTATGAAAAAAATACAAAAAAATAAATAACATTTATATTGAGCGTTAAATTTCTGTTTATACGTGTAATTCTTGTTGCAGGAAAAATTCCAAAGTGTTTTATGTTGTGTTACGAGATGTGTGTATTTAAATTTCATTATTTAATCTGATTATCATGTACCTGTAATAATAATTGTGCACAGTCGTCCGACGTGGGTGTATCTTCGTATCATTTCGATTTCCTTCACGTCCTTCAACACGTTCCAATCATTCTCAACCAATTTCATGAGTTTCTTTAGCTACACAAACGCGTTTGTATTATAAATATATATAAAAAAAAAACTAATCTCTGACATCACGTGAATGTCGGAAGAGACTCGGATATATCGTAAGTACAAAAAATATCGCAAATAAAATTGTGCAGTAATAATTTTTTCCAATTAAACAGATAAGTCAAAATAGGACCGTCTTGAGGTCAATCTGAAACAGGAAAACAATCATGTTGCGTACTTACACTCGCGGGCAGCAGCAAAAATGTAATATATTTCACCGTGACGATCAGACTCGGCGCGCAGAACGACAGAACTCTCAGCACAATTATCGGATCGTATTTCGACGTGACTATCTTCGCCATCTACGAGCGATCTTCATATTATCCGTGTAAATATATAATATAAGAGAACATAATTGAATAAAAAAAATGTAAAAAGATCGCTTCGGTTTGACTCAAATTATAAAACAACAAACACAAGGGAAAAAAATATTTTGCAAAAAATTGTGTGTAATAAAATTCAATAAATTTCGAAAACACACGAATGTATATAGAAAAATGAGAAATTTTGTCACAGATGTCAATACAAATGAATATCTATAAAACAAGAAAGATACAAGCGAAGCGAGTATGTGCGCAGTTGATATTTATCCGCGATCGTACCATTGTGAACGTACACGACACAATAAAGAAAGCTGACAATAGTATTTTAACTCGCTTGAGTATCGATTCATCATACGGCCACAAACCAACCCACAACAAGAGCAAGCGATTGAGCTCATAGTAGCCACCTCGAGTAAAATCCATCTTCGACAACGACCGAAGCAGTTCTGTGTTTTTCGCGCGGAAAATATTAAAAAAAAAAAAAAAAAAAAATTGATCTAACAACGGGGGTTGATATTCTCGAGATGTTTTTTTTATTCACTTAATATCCCACAAAATTACGGCTATCGCGCTCAATTATCCGAGTACGCGCGAGTAGCGTTATTACTCGTAATTTGTTGTAACAAAACACGAAGAAAAGGGGAACTTGAACGATCCGCAGTTTTCTTAAGAGCGACAGCAATCAAGATACATTAATCTTCCGTGTCTATAGCCGAGTTTTCCGATATTGTTATTTTTTCTTCGAATCGACGCAAGCGCAGTTGAAGACTTCTGTTTCATCGGGATACACTTTCGTTTAGACCGTCAGACGTTTCACTGCCAGTGAAACGTCACTTCACTAAAAATCTATAGCACGTGTTACGTGAAGTGTAGTTTTAAAACTAAGAGTGAATATATCGAGAGACGCAGTCATGTGCAGTTGCAACCTAACAGTGAAAAATATCACATATTGATGTGAACCTAAGCTTATAAAGAAAACTGGCGAGATAAGTGATGTAAAACAACGAGTTTTGTTAACGTTCGAATGTTTAATCTCTCAGTAAAGTTTTTATCTTCAAATAAAACATCAAATATACAAGTGCAAAGATATTTTTCGTCAGTTGATAATAGTTCTACTGCTCCGCAGCGTGACTACGATTTTTTCACTACAACTTTTTCCGTACTAGCAAAATTACTTGCGCACCGACCAAAGTACGGTGAAGTACGACACAGTCATACTCATTAGCTGAAATTCAAAAGTCACGTTATATAACACACAGGATTATACATTTCATTCTTCAGCAAAAATAACAACAATCAAAGAATTTATGTACAAAATTTGATCACAAAAAATTTACACTATCCAAAATATGCTAAAGTAAGTAAAATGAGATAATAAGTTAAGTGAAGCTATGCTCTCGGCCAGCACTAAAAAGTACGTGTTTTGTATTAGCATAACGCTTACCGACGCAAAACCTTCGAATGACGGAATATACAATCCGCCACCTACGACCATCTTGCAACTTCTCGTACTTCTTTGCATTATGACCGGCAATAATTTTTGTGCTTGCACTGGCGCGTCGTGCCACTTTGTACCGTATCTAAAAATTTGTCTAAATATAAATTCCTCGCGTATTTATAATTGTTATTCATGTACAAGATTCTTTCTTGCGAACTCTTGTTTTTGACATTATTTTCAAAATAAATTGTCTTGTACAAACGTATTCACTTACGTATTCTGAAAAATACCAGTGCTATGATCTATCAGAATTTGCCCAATATAATTACCTAAGAATAAGTAAAACACATGACCAAAACTGAACATACTCAACTTTAGAAATTCGTTCATTTCTTTTATGATTAAAATTGCTTCGAAAAGCTAGAACAAAAGGTTAAATGATATTACTATTAAAAATTTATTACCTGCCAAAACTACAGTTTTCGAATGTACAGTAACAAACAAATATATTTTACATATAAATTAATACTACGTAACTCACGCAAAAAAGATGGATGACGAGAGATGCGATACCGAGCATAAGCAGAATGCTATATGACACGGCCAGAGTGGACCACAAAAACTCGGAGAACCTTCAAGAACATAAATCCTGTGAGCTATTGTTTTTTTTTTTTTTATTTATGTTTTTTCATTATTCGTATGCGCGAGCATACAGATAATTTTTCATTTCCTAACGACAAGAAATTAATATATTATACTGACTCGAGAGCTCTTTTGTGAATGCGCACAGCCTCGATTAGCTTTTTATGAACAATGATTGCCCGTTTATCGGGTGGATACGTTTGCCACACCTTGTTGTCAAACGCTTGATCCAATCGATAACTGTAAGAGAACAGCATTCGCTTGATACAAAATCGATCAAGATGTTTAATTTTCGCGCGACTGTACTTTTGAATTTAAATTACCTGGCGACTTGAAACATCCCGCAAGCGTGCAGCACATGCGTAACGTACAACGACTCGGTGCCTACCAGCGTGATGAATATAAGAAACAATGAAACGCCCACGTGCAATGTGATAACATAGAAATACTTTTGGTGATCGACGAAAAATTTGCCCGGAAACAGTAAGTGTCGCTGCCGCGAGACGTTCAACGGCATGAGAATATCAAGAACGTTCGGTACGAACGGTACGAGACACATTCCCACGATACCCAAGACAGCGAGTACTGAAACGTTGAGAAGAAACGACTCTTACAGAGTGATCGCTCATCACGATATTCTTTACGTATACATCGATTGTTTACTTGTAAAACCAAAAGTGAAGAGATTTCCGAAATAAGTATATCTCCCCAAGATTTCCACCTCTTTCTTATCCTTGAGCATGTTCCAGTCTTTCTCTACGTACTCTATAAGACCTCTAATCTGCTCGCAAAAAAAAAAAAATTAATTCAGTCACATAAATGCATTCTCTTACTTGCTACAAAAATGTTTTTGCTAGCGCGTTTAGAATCGAAATAGTGAAAAGAGTTTCGTATTTATGATGGCGGTTCAAGTATATGTTTAAAACCAAATTAAATTTGTTAATATATATTTATATTTGTTATTATTGTTTGTTAATATTAAATTTGTTTAAGAAATAATACATATTAAATTCTATATATATATATATATATTTCAATTACAAATTATGTTTATATCACATATATTTTAAGTAAGAAATTATAAAATATCTACAAATAAAACACACAAAAACATGAACTCACCTTTCTAGCAACGATACAGAACGTTTGATACTTTATAACGTAAACGAAGCAAACTAATGTGGGAGAAAGAACTGTGAACAAGATGTTAATGTTGTATCTTAACTCTTCCAATTTCGCGATCTAAATTTGACAACATTATCTTATTTATGATTGAAATAGTAAGAAAAAATTCCTCGTAAGCAACACTTTTACCTGAGCAACCATCGTGTATCCTACAATAATATTGCAGAATATTCTTTGAAAATATTTGGCGATCGACCAGTCGTACGGCCAAAGGCCGACCAATAGCAAGATACGTCGATTGAATCTATAGTACTTATTTCCGGAGAAGTTCATCTCTCGATGGTCGAAACACTTCTGCGCCGCGAAAGCGAAACTACCGCTGCATTTTTTTCTTCCCTCTCTCTCATCAATGCTCTCATTTTATCGTATTTCTTTCACGTATCTTCTATATGTCAATGAAAAATAAACGCCGCAATTTGCAAAAGATTATTCGCATTTCTACTGTTAAGAAAAAACTGACATATAAATTTTGTATCTCACAATAGCACTTTATTGGTATAAAAACACGATAAACTTACACGTGAGAGAGAATTAAATAATTGACGCGCAATTTGAAATGAGTTTTTGTTAGAAGAAGCAATTTTCTTAGAGATCGCATCCTCTTTGTTCAGTCGTCAGATATCAACGGTACGTCTCCCACCGTGAACCTAGCAGTTTCATTACATTAGATTTCGTAGCTAACCGACCGAATATTGTCCAAGCAAAATCGATAATTTTATTCCCGCAGAAAGGGGAAAAGAATTGCGCGCACCGACGTCGGCGCAATAGAATGCCGTTTCTTGTCGCGACGACGCTTTCCTCAATGCCGCGTGGTCCGTCACGCGACGAACCACGTGTTCGTCTTGTTTCACGCGTGTTTCACTAATGTGTGAAAAACGAAAATCCGTGCCGTTAATTTTCTTTTCGTGCCTCCAAATTGCAAGTTTTCAGAAAGTTGTGTCTATGATTTGTACTTTTTGTAAATTCTGACAAACCTATTCGGCGAAACGTGCAAATAAAAAGTGTGCACGTCCAACGCGTTTTAATACAAACGAAACTGCGCGTAATGACGCCAAAATCAAGGATACACGTATAAAAAGGTACAGCAAAGAGGTACAGAGATGCGTAAAAACTACACTACTTTGAAAGTGTTTCTCTTCTCATTATGTTCTATACAAAACGCGGTAACTATCGCGCCCAGTTGTTTGAGTAGCGTGGGTACCACACTTATTTTATACTACACTTAATTTGTTTGTAACTGTAAATAATGTTATTTTATAATGTAGTCTAGGAAAAGAAAACCTCTTTGTAGTTTTAAAAGAGACAGCAAGATATTAATATTAATCTTCTGTTTAAATATCTAAATTACTTGATATTATTCTTCGGATCGACTCAAGCGCAAGTGAGAAGACTATTTTCATCGAAATTCATTGTCGTTCAAACCGTCAAATGTGTTTCGCATTTATGTAGTTGTAACAGTAAAAAATGATACATGTATTAAATTAAGGTAAAAATAAACATACAAAAAAACAGTAAAAATAAAGTACAAATAAACAAATAAAAGAAGTGAAAAAAAAGTTGCTCAATGGTTTTTATCTTCATATACAATAATAAATATACAAGCGCAAAGATATTTTGTCAATTGATTATATTGAGAAAACTGTTCTACTCATTTGCAGCGTGACTACAATGTTCTTAGTACAAATTTGTCGTGCTAGCAAGATTACTCGCGTACCGAACACAGTACAGTGAAGTACGATACAGTCATACTCATAAGCTGAAATTCAAGAGATTCACGTTATAAAATAAAGACTACATACTTATTTTTCAATAGCAATAACATTAATTAAAAGGTATTTTATACACAAAAATTGATGATCGGAATAAATTTGCATTATCTAAACTATGCTAAATAACAAAACAAAATTAAATACAGTTACGTTTACCGTCGCAAAACCTTCAAATGACGGAATATACATTCCGCCACCTACGGCCATCTTGCAACTTCTCGTACTTCTTTGCATTATGATCGGCAATAATTTTTGCGCCTGCACTGGAGCGCTGTACCATTGTGTAATGTATCTAAAGTTGGTTCACATATAAATTCCTTTAAATTATATATTTTGAGTTCGTTATACGTTTAAGTAAAAAGATAGGGGATCTTTTTATCCCTATCTTTTTATTTAAATTCCTCTCATTTTCGATTATTATTCATGTACACAATTTTTTTTCGTAAAACTTTGTCATTTTGTATTTAAAATCTCATTGTCTCGTACAAATGTATTTACTTACACATTCTGAAAAATATCGGTGCTATGATCTATCAGAATTTGCCCAACATAATTACCTACGAATAAATAGATCATATGGAAGAGACTGAACAAACTCAGCTTTATAATTTCGTTTATTTCTCTTATGACTAATACTGTTTCAAAAAGCTAGAAGAAAAGTTAAAATAATATTATTATTAAGATACTATTACCTGTCAAAACTGTAGTTGTCTGAAAGATGTACAGTAATAAACAGATATATTGTATATACATAACTTACAGAAAAAAGATGAATGACAAGAGACGTGATACCAAGTATAAGCAGAATGCTGTACGACACAGCCAAAGTGGACCACAAAAACTCGGAAAACCTTGAAGAGAATAAAATCTGTGAGGTGTGCGTTACTGGTTTTTTTATTTTTTTAATTTTTTTTATTTGTAGTGTGCGCGAGTTTTTTAGCTTTTAAACTCGACAGAAATATTGTTTTCCCAATAAATTGAAAATTAATTCCATTACTTAATCGATCAATCAGATAATTTTCTATTTACTAACGATAAAAAATTAATATAGTTTACTAACTCGAGAGCTCTTTTGTGAATAAGCATTGCCTCGATTAGCTTTTTGTAAACAATGAGAGCCCGACTTTCGACTGGATACGCTTGCCACAACTTGTTGCCAAACGCTTGATCAAATCGATAACTGCAAGGAAACATCGATCGTTTATTTCAAAATCAAAACCGACCAAGGTGTTGAATTGACGCAACTCTATACTTTTGAATTTAATTATCTACCTAGCGACTCGAAACATCCCGCAAGCGTGCAGCACATGCGTCACGAACAATGTTTCGGTGCCTATCAGCGTGGTGAACATCAGAAAGATTGAAATAGACACATGTAATGTGATAACGTAGAAATACTTCTGATGATCGACGAAAAATTCACACGGAAACATTAAATGTCGCGGCCGCGAGACGTTTAATGGTGCGAGGATATCAAGAACGATCGGTAAGAAGGGTACGAAAGACATTACCACGCCAATGAAGTAAATGAATACTGAAATGTCAAAAAGAAACGACTTTCAAAATGATTGCTCGTCACGATCATTCTTTGCAAGTTACGTATATACATCGATTCTTTACTTGCAACTAACGAGGTGATAATACTGCCGAAGTAAGTGTACCTCCCCAAAATTTCCATCTCCATCTTATCCTTGAGCATGTTCCAGTCTTTTTCTACGTGATCTATAAGACCTCTAATCTGCTCGCGAAAAAAATATAATTCAATCACATAAACGCACTCACTTGCTTCTTGCTACAAAGATTGTTTCGCTAGCGCGTTTGAGATTGAAATAGAAAATAAAAATTCAATATTTATGTTGATGTAAGTATATATTTAAGTATATATTTAAGTATATATATATTTACATATTAAGTATTATTATTATTTAAGTATTATTATATATTTAAGTATATATTTATATATTGAGTATTATGTAAGTATATATTTAAAAAACACAATTGTATTAAATTTATACAAAAATTTATATTATATAATAAAATGTATTCAAATTACAATAATTGTTTTTATATTTAAGTAAATATTTCTTACAAATTTACAAATTATCTACAAAAAAAAGAACATGGGCTCACCTTTGTAGCAACGATGCAGAACGTATGATATTTTAGAACGGAAGCTAAACAAATGAATAAGAAAGAAAGAACTGTTAACAAGTCGTTAAGGCTGTGTCTGAACTCTTCCAATTTCACGATCTAAATTTGACATTATTTTATTTATGATTGAAATAGTAAGAAATGTTCCCGTATAAGCAACACTTTTACCTGAGCAATCACCGTGTATCCTACAATAATATTGCACAATACTTTTTGAACATATTTGACGATTGACTCGTCGTACGGCCACAGGCCGACCATAAGCAAAAGACGTCGATGGAGTCTATAGTATTTATTTCCGAAGAAGTTCATCTCTCGATAGTCGAAACACTTCTGCGCCGCGAAAGCGAAACTACCCCCGCGTTTCTTCTTTCTCTCATCAATGCTTTTAACTTACCCTATTTTTTTCAAGTTGCACATGTCTTCTATTTATGTCATTAAAATAAACGCTGCAATTTACAGAAGATTATCTATTTTTACTATTAAAATAATTGACATATAAAGTGTGTGTATGTGTGTGTGTGTACCTCACGAACGCTTCATTTGTGTAAACGCGCGAAACTGGCGGAGGGAGAATTACTATTATTGACCTAACTTATTGTCGTATAAGTTACAATAACTGTTTGTTACGAGAAGCAATTTTCTTAAAGATCGTATATATCCTCTTCGTTCAGTCGGTAGGTGTCAACGGTGCGTCTCTCATCGTAGAAGCTAGCAGCTTCAATACGTCAAATGTCCAGAGCTAACCGACCTAATAGTTGTTAGCGAGATCGATAATTTTACTTCTACGGATGTGAAGCAAAAGTAACACCGTCGTAAGCGCAATATACGCTCTTCATCTCAACGAAACGCTTTGCTTCAAGCGCGAGAAGCCACGTGTTCGTCTCGTTTCACGCATGTTACTAATGTGTGAAAAATAAAAGTTCGCAGCGTGAATCCTTTTGTGCGTCCACGTTGAAATTTTTTAGTGCGTCCGCAATTTGTGTTCTTTGTAAGTTATGACGAATCTAGTCGGCAAATTGTGCATACAAAGTGCGTATATGTTCGATGCGTTTTAACATAAACGAAACTGCGCAAAAAAGCGTCGAAATAAAAACTACGCGAAAAAATAAAAATTCTGTGTGCAATTTTTTTTATTATAAATTTTTAGCTATTCTAACACGTTGCTCGTTAACATTCACGAGAACGTATCTCCGTTCTGCGGGAATAAAGGTTTCGTATGACATACTACTGAATTTTACAGAATAAGTACCAGGTGCAGGTTTAGTTTCAACGTGTGGAATAAATTACGGTAAGATAAGACGGCGTCAAACTTGTTATCTCAAACGAATAGTGTTGTGTTATCAATGTCTAATAAATTGTAGTAACAAATGTGTAATTCTTGTCGGTACTATCTTAATTGCACCCGGTATTATTCTGTAATATTTAGATTCTAAACATGACAGAAATATGTTGTTATCGTGTTGTGGAAACTTCTAAGGATGACATAATTATACTTCGAAGCTCTGAAACATTTTTCTGCAATAATGCGAACGAGTTTCTAAACTTGCACAAGCGCTGAGTAAAAAGAAACTATTCTTCTAACTATTGAATTAAAGTTTGTATTAAATTAAAGCAAAAATAAACATATTAACAAAAGTGAAAAAAAAGTTTCTCAGCGAGATTTTATCTTTATATAAAATGTTAAATTCACAAGTGCAAAGATATATTGTCAATTAATAATGTTGAAACAATTGTTCTATTACTTTGTAGCATGACTATGATTTTTTTAATACAAATTTTTTGTGCTAGCAAAATTACTTGCGTACCGACCAAAGTACAGTGAAGTACGATACAGTCATACTCATAAGCTGAAATTCAAGAGATTCACGTTATAAAATAAAGACTACATACTTATTTTTCAATAGCAATAACATTAATTAAAAGGTATTTTATACACAAAAATTGATGATCGGAATAAATTTGCATTATCTAAAATATGCTAAATAACAAAACAAAATTAAATACAGTTACGTTTACCGTCGCGAAACCTTCAAATGACGGAATATACATTCCGCCACCTACGGCCATCTTGCAACTTCTCGTACTTCTTTGCATTATGACCGGCAATAATTTTTGTGCTTGCACTGGAGCGTCGTACCACTGTGTAATGTATCTAAAAGTTTGTCTAAATATATATTCCTCTTCTTTTCCATCATTATTCACGTACAGAGTTCTTCGTAAAAGTTTGCCATTATTTTAAAAATACAAATTGTCTTGTATAAATGTATTCACTTACATATTCTGAAAAATATCGGTGCTATGATCTATCAGAATTTGCCCAACATAATTACCTAAGAATAAATAGAACACATGGTCAAAGCTGAGTACACTCAATTGTAGTATTTCGTTCATTTCTTTTGAAAATAATATTGATTGAAAAAGCTAGAAACAAAAGTTATAATATTATTACTATTAAAATACTATTACCTGCCAAAACTATAGTTCTTTGATGTGGAATAATAAATAGATATAATTTACCTAAATATCTATATATTATATAACTTACGCAAAAAAGATTAATAACAAGAGACCCGATACCGAGAATAAGCAGAATGCTGTACGACACGGCCAAACTGGACCACAAAAACTCGGAGAACCTTGAAGAGAACAAAATTTGTGAAGTTCGCTGTTTTTCACTGTTTGTATGCGCGAGATGGAACTTTTAAACTTTTAAACTCGACAAAAATATTGTTTTTTTTTCAGAAAATCAAAAGTTAAATTTCATTAATTAATCGGTCAATCAAATCATTTTTCATTTCCTAACGACAAAAAATTAATATATTATATACTGACTCGAGAGCTCTTTTGTGAATGCGCAGAGCCTCGATTAGACTTTTGTAAACAATAATTGCCCGAATTTCGGCTGAATACGATTGCCACAACTTGTTGCCAAACGCTTGATCCAATCGATAACTACAAGAAAACAGCGAACGATTATTACAAAATCACAATCTACCAAGATGTGGAATTGACGCGACTGTACTTTTGAATTTAAATTACCTGGCGACTTGAAACATCCCGCAAGCGTGCAGCACATGCGTCACGAACAATGACTCGGTGCCTACCAGCGTGATGAATATAAAAAACAGTGAAACGGCCATATTTAGTACGATAACGTAAAAATACTTCTGATGATCGATGAAATATTCGCCCGGAAACATTAATTGTCGTGGCCGCGAGACGTTCAATGGTGCGACGATATCAAGAAAGTCTGGTACGAGCGGTACGAGAGACATTAACACTATTACCACGGAAGCAAGTACTGAAACGTCGAGAAGAAACGACTCTCAGATTGATTGCTCGTCACGACAGTCTTCACAATGTATATATACATAGATTCTTTACTTGTAAAACTTAAGGTGAAAACACTGCCAAAGTACGTGTACCTCCCTAAGATTTCCAGCTCTCTTTCGTCCTTGAGCATGTTCCAGTCTTTTTCCACGTAATCCATAAGACCTCTAATCTGCTCGCGAAAAAAGAAAATTCAATTCACACAAACACGCTAAAATGCTCCTAGCTCCTAAAGATTGTTTTGCTCGCGCGTTTAAAATTAAGATAATAAAAAGAGTTTAATATTCATATTGGCGATGTAAGTATATACGTAAAAAAGTATATGATTAAATTTATTTAAAAATTAATATTACATATCAAAATCAATTTAAATTGCAAGAATTATCTTTATATTTACTTCTAAACATTTTTTCTTTTAATTACAAAATATCTACACAAAAATAACGCGGTCTCACCTTTCTAGCAATAATGCAGAACGTTTGATATTTTATATTGTAAATAAAGCCAACTAACGTGGGAGAAAGAACTGTTAACAAGACATTAACACTGTGTCTTAACTCTACCAATTTCGCGATCTAAATTTGATAACATCATCTTTATTCACGACTGAAATAGTAAGAAAATTCCTCGTAAGCAACAGTTTTACCTGAGCAACCATCGTGTATCCTACAATAATATTGCAGAACGCTATTTGGCAATATTTGACAATGGAACGGTCGTACGGCCAAAGACCGACCAGCAGCAGGAGACGTCGAGTGAGTCTATAGTACTTATTTCCGAGGAAGTTCATCTCTCGATGGTCGAAACACTTCTGAGCCGCGAAAGCGATACCATCGCTGCTTTTTTTCTCTCTCTCTTTCATCAATGCTCGCAATTTATCGTATTTCTTTCACGTTGCATGTATCTTTCATGAAATAAACGCTGCAATTTGCGAAAAACAACCGACATTTCTACTGCTGAGAAGAGCAACAGAAATTCCATGCATTATACGGCAGCGTCTCGTGTGTAAACGCGCGAAAGTTACACGTGTGGGAGAATTAAGTAATTGACACACAATTTGAAGTAACTTTTTTCTACGGGAGAAGCAATTTTCTTAGGGATCGTGTATATGTAGAAACTAAGAGCTTCATTACAATAGATTTTCAGAATTAACCGACAATATTGTCCAAACGAAATCGATAATTTTATTCCCGCAGGTAGGGGAAAAGAATTGCGGCTTTGACGTCGGCGCAATAGAGTGCGACGTTTGTTGTCGAGACGACACTTTTGTTAATGCCGCGTGGACCGTCACGCGAGAAAGCCACGTGTTTGTCTCGTTTCACACGTGTTACTAATGTGTGAAAAACAAAAATCCGTCCGCGTGAATTGTTTTGTGCCTCTTATTTGCAATGTTCTAGTGTGTTGTGTTTACGGTTTTGTGCTGTTTGTAACTTCTGACGAAGCTAATCGGCAAATCGTGCAAACAAAATTTAGTATGCGCCCAACGCGATTTAATATGAACAGAGCTGCTTGAAATGACTCTGAGATAAAGGATACACGTATAAAAAAGATACTGCAAAAAGGTACAGTTATCAGTAATAATATTCCGGAAATGCTTTTTTTCTCTTAGTTTTCCACACAAAACGCAGTGACTATCGCGCCCAGTTATTTGAGTAGCATTATTGAATTTGTAAGTTAAGTAATTCAATTTTATAAGTAATTTAATTTTATATTGTAATCTAGGAAAAAGGAAACTTTTGTAAGCTTTGTAGTTTTCTTAAATAAACACAGCAAGTTATTAATATTAATCTTCCGTAGAAATACAGAAGCTAAGTTACTTGATATTATTTTTTTTTCGGATCGCCTCAAGCGACTGAGAAGACTTTTTTATCGAAATTCATTGTCGTTCAGATTGTCAGATGTGTTTCGCACTTAATGTAGCAACGTAACAGTAAAAAATGATAGATACATGTATTAAAATTAAACACATAAGAAAAAGTGTGGAAAGATAGTTCCTCAATGGTTTTTATCTTCATATAAAATATTAAATATACAAGTGCAAAGATATGTTGTCAATTGATAATACTGTGTGAAAGAATTGTTCTAATTCTCAGCGTGACTACTTCTTTTTCTAGAAACTTTTTGTGCTAGCAAAATTATTTGCGTACCGACCAAAGTACAGTAAAGTACGACACAGTCATACTCATGAGCTGAAATTCGAGATTCACGTTATAAAATAAAGATTACATCGGAATAAATTTGCATTATCTAAAATATGCTAAATAGAGAAAGAAAAGTAAATAACTTTACCGTCGCAAAACCTTCAAATGACGGAATAAACATTCCGCCACCTACGGCCATCTTGCAACTTTTCGTACTTCTTTGCATTATGATCGGCAATAATTTTTGTGCTTGCACCGGAGCGCCGTACCACTGTGTAACGTATCTAAAAGTTTGTCTAAATAGAGAAATTCTTCTCTTATTTACGATCATTCTATATATATATGATTTAAAAAAAATTTTTTTTATTATTATAAAAACAAGTTTTTGTAAAAATGTGTTAGTTACGTATTCTGAAAAATATCGGTGCTATGATCTATTAGAATTTGGCCAACATAATTGCCTAAGAACAAATAGAACACATGGCCAAAACTGAATATACTCAATCTTATTATTTCGTTCATTTCTTTTATGAACAATACTGCTTCGAAGAGCTAGAAAAAAGATGAACTATTACTGCTGTTACTTGGCAAAATGTGAGACAATGTGATTTTTGTAAAATGTTACATTATTAAACCGATAAGTTTCTCAAATGTAATAAGCAACTTACGCAAAAAAGATTTACAACAAGAGACATGATACCGATTATGAGCAGAATGCTGTACGACACGGCCAAAGTGGACCATAAGAACTCGGAGAATCTTAAAAAAAACCTGTTGTTTCAATTGCAAATGCTATTGTTTTCTTTTTTATTTTTATTGTACGTGCGCGAACCTAAGCTTTTGAACTACCGACAAGAATATTGTTTTTCCGGAGAATCAAAAGTTATTTTTTAATTAACTAATCGAACGATCAGATGATTTTCTATTTGTTAATGAGAAAATAATATAATAATATACCGACTCGAGAGCTCTTTTGTGAATGCGCACAGCTTCGATTAACCTTTCGTAAACAATGATTGCCTGTTTTTCGGCTGGATAAGTTTGGAACATCTTGTCGCAGAACGCTTGTTTCATTCGATAACTACAAGAGAAGCAGCGATCGCTTGTTACAAACTCAAAATTAATTACAATGTCGATTTCGCATCATTGACTGTATCTTTAAATTTAATTACTTGGCGACTTGAAACATTCCGCAAGCGTGCAGCACATGCGTCACGTACAATGACTCGGTGCCTACCAACGTGACGAGTATCAGACTCAAGGAAACATCCACGTGCAACATGATACCGTAGAAATACTTCTGCTGATCGACGAAAAATTCACCCGGAAACAGTACGTATCGCTGTCGCGATTCGTTCTGTGGTACGAGGATATCAAGAACGTTCGGTACGAACGGTAAGAGAAACATTAACACCAGAGCCACTAAACCTATTACTGAAACAATGAGAAGGGAAACGACTTCCAAAAAAAGTGCACGTTTTTCTGATTTTTTGCAAGTTACGTACACTGAGAAAAAAATATTATTAACTCAACTAAATGCGTTTAGTTGGCAGTCAGTTTGTTATTTAAAATACTTTGTGTTTTTAATTCAAGTATATGACGAGAAAAATAACAAATTCATGTAAGTTGAATCAACAATATTGGTTAATGAATATGTACAATCTACTAAACCATAATTCTGTCAAACATAATATATGGTAATTTCAAATAAAAAATACTGGTAAAAAAAATAATAAAATACGCAATACTCAGTTAAACTTTAATTGAATATAATCTGATATTACTTGTACTAAATATTTAGTCTAATCAAAGTGCTTATTATATTATAAGAGACAAAATATTGTGTTGTTTATATTTAAAGTAATCTATATTTAAACAAACTGTAGATTTGTTAAAACAACTGAATATGTCTTTCGATACAAACTAATTGTCATATCTATTGGAACATATCTTCTTACATTAATCGCTATTTAATTAACAGCCCGTGATTGTCGCATATAGTTGAATCAAATATGATTTTGTCACTTCAACAACTTTTTTTTCTCAGTGTATACATCGGTTCCTTACTTGTAAAACTCAAAGTAAAAATACTGCCAAAATACGTGTACCTCCCCATGATTTCCAGCTCTTTCTTATCCTTGAGCATGTTCCAGTCTTTCTCCACGTAATTCATAAGACCTTTAATCTGTTCGCGAAAAATATAAATTAAATCACACAAACACACTCAAAGTCTCCTTGCTACAAAAGAATTTGCTTGCGCGTTTTAGAATTGAAATAATGAAAAGAGTTCTTATATTAGCGATATAAGTACGTACTAAAAAAAAAACATTAAATTTAATAAAACAAATGAAATTATGTATCAAAATTTATTTAAATTACTATAATTAGGTTTAATTATACTGTGTATAGATTTCAAAAAAGTACAAAATATTTACAAACACAAAAGAAAGCAGGCTCACCTTTTTAGCGACAATGCAAAACGTCTGATATTTTATAATATAAATGAAGCAAACTATTGTGGGAGAAAGAAGTGTTAAGACAACGTTGATGTTGCGTCTTAACTCTATCAACTTCGCGACCTAAACTCGATAAGATTGAAGTACATCTTGTTCACGATTGAAATTACATGAAAATTCATTGTGAGCATCACTTTTACCTGAGAGACCGTCATGTATCCTACAATAATATTGCAGAATACTATTTGACAATATTTGACGATCGAGTGATCGTACGGCCAAAGGCCGACCAGCAGCAAGAGACGTCGAGTGAGTCTGTAGTATTTATTTCCGAGGAAGTTCATCTCTCGATGGTCGAAACACTTCTGCGCCGCGAAAGCGAAACTACCCCTGCATTTTTTTTTCTTCTCTCATCATCAGTGCTCTCAATTTATCCTATTTCTTTCACGTTGCATGTATCTTCTATGAAATAAACGCTGCAATTTGCGAAAAACAACCGGCATTTCTACTGCTGAGAAAAGTAACGGAAATTCCATGCGTCTTACGGCAGCGTCTCGTTTGTGTAAACGCGCGAAAGTTACACGTGTGGGAAAATTAAGTAATTGACGCACAATTTGAAATAACTTTTTCCCACGGGAGAAGCAATTTTCTTAGGGATCGTATGTATGTCGTTCGGGTGTCAACGGTGCGTGTTTTGTTGTAGAAACTAAGAGTTTTATTACAATAGATTTTCAGAATTAACCGACAATATTGTCCGAGCGAAATCGATAATTTTATTCCCGCAGGTAGGGGAAAAGAATTGCTCGGCTTTGACGTCGGCGCAATAGAGCGCGACGCTTCTTGTCGCTTTCCTCAATGCCGCGTGGACCGTCACGCGAGAAGCCACATTTTTCTCTCACGCTTCACCAAGTCGGATGTTACTGATGTGTGAAAAACAAACATCCGCGAATCCACTCGTGCGTCCGTTTTTTGTCGGTGAGTTGTGTCTGCGGTTTGTGCTCTCTCTCTCTTTCAAGTTCTAACAAACCTACTCGGCGAATCGCGCATACAAAGTGCGTATTCCGGTATACCTATGTCCGGTTATTTACGTGCGTTTTTAATACGAACGAACGAAGCTGCGCGAAATGACGCCAAGGTACAAAGGATACAAAGTGAAAATAAAGACTTTGTGTGTGACGTTCTGTCATAAATGTTTACTGTTCAAACACGTGGTTTCGTTATATAACGTTCACAACGTTATCTCGTTCTGCGTGAATAAAGACTCGATATGCATATGCTACTGATAATTTTTCAGAACTAGTACTAGAGAGAGACAGATCGGGTTCAGGTTCAACGCACGGAATAAATTACGGTGAGATAAGACAGCGTCAAACTTGCCATCTGAAACGAAACAATTGTGTTATCAACGTCTAATAAATTCGAGACGTTAATTCTTATAAATGTGAAATTCTTATTGTTGTTATTATAATTGCAGAAAATGCGCATTATTAATTTTTCCACTTAGGTCCTAAAGGCGTTCGATATGAACAGAAGTATGTCGTTACCGATGCGAAACCTTCCAAGGACGCCATAATTATACCCCCGATGCCCAACACGTAACCCTTCACCGTTCTCTGCAGTATGAATGTGAGAAGCTTCTGAATTTGGACAGGCGCCGAATACCAAGGCACGTCGTATCTTTAATTAAGGTGTGAGGAGATTTATATTTGAACATATTTATAAAATAAAATAGTACGTACAGTAAGAAATTAATCAGACTGTGTAGACTTACGCCTCGTCGAACACGATGATGCTATGGTTCGTTACTTTCTGACCGAAGTAATTGGCGAAAAACAAAAATCCGTATTGGCCCGCGATAAATGCTCCGGCCGCCAATAATTCCTCAAAATCGTTCAGCGCCAAGATAGCTTCGATCAGCTAGAACGAGATAGTTTTTGCGCTCACGAGTTGCTAATCGAATAATCTCCCGCGAATATAAAACAAACTCGCTTAAAGAGTAAAAAGCGAGCGGAGAGAAACGGCTCTCTCTCCAGGCGAGAGTAACTCACGCGGAACATATTAATGGTTATTGCGATGACGCCCAGTATGAGCACAACCAGATAGGTGAAGATAAACGTGGACAACAGGTAATCTAGAAAACTTCAACAATAAAAAGTCACGTGTATTACCTTACAAAGATTAACGGAGCGGTATTTTCGCGCCGCGGGGAAAAAAAAATTTCCGCGCGAGGAAAACTCCGCGGAAAATTTTCAAACGCGATTAATTTAATTACATCTTTATATTATAAACTTCCACACTCACTCGATACTTCTTCTATGGATATTCACCACTTCCACGATTCTCGCGCGAATCGCAGTGTGTTTTTCACCGTCGCACATCCACGAGGATACGTCGTCGAACGCGTGTTTCAGACGATAACTATAAATAAAAAAAATTCGTACTATCTTTTATAAAATTAGCAAATTGTCTTTTTCCATTCGTAATTAATTAATTCGCAATATTTTATTACAAATTCGTACAAAATATTATATAAGTTCTCGTGTTATCATAAAAGTTAAAAAAAAAAAAAAAAAAAAAACTAGCGAAACCATTTCTCACCTGGCCACTTCGAACAATCCACAAGCGTGATGAATGCACACCATATTCAGCGTCTCGGTGGCGAGAACTGTGGTCACGCCTAACAAAGCAAGCAAGGACTGATGAACCAGAATGGGATAAAAGTGCTTCTCCTCATCGAGGACGTAGTATTCCGCCAGGATGGGCAGTCTCCTTGAACGGGACTCGTTCAAGGGACGGACGAGGTCGAGAAAACCCGGCAGATAGAAACCGAAAATAAAACAAAACAAAAGCGGGAAGCTCGTGGCTGAAACAAACGTGTCCACGTTACGTATCGGCACTCAGAATTGGTAAAATTTTGCTGATGCGTTTTGTTTCTCTTCTTCTGTAAATTTAATAAATACGATGCACAAAAATTCCATACCAAAAAAAACTATTGTGTATCGCATTCCGATTATGGTGTAATATTGAACGATCTCGCATTCCTTCTTGTCCTTCAACGTGCGCCAATCGTGCTGCACTCGGTCCAACAGCTCTTTCACCTATTAATAACGACATCGGTGATAATCGCGATGTGTGGACACGTATCGGGAGAAAATAGAATTGTCTATCTCACTTACTCTATGAATATTGATAATATAGCTGATAAATTTCATAAGATAGATGTGAGAAGGAACAGCGTAGGTCAGATTGTAAAGGAGACGATCGAGATTGTGAATCGTGCTCTGCAATTTCGCAAGCTGCAGAAGAGTGTTATATTGTATTTACACATCGATAAATTGTTCAAACAAACAGTACCCCATATAAATTAAGAAAAGAGAAAAAACAGAAAGGCGAAGTAGCAAATAGATACATATACGAAAAAAATCAATGCAAAATTGGACAAGATATTTGTGTAACAATATTTCTATTTTTTTTTTTAATGTATATATCTATTAGTTTCGAATTAAATCGATTAAGAAGACGATACCTGAGTGACGCAAGAGAGCGCGAGAATCGAGATCGTGAACGTTCTGTAAACATACACGAATGCGGAGTTGTTGTAAGGCCACAGGCCCAGCATCTCCAGAGCGAATCGATTGACTCGGTAAAACCGCTGACCGGCAAAGTTCATTTTGCCTCGGAGGTTCGACCGCATTTATTACGTGAAGGAGCTTCTCTTCGAAGCTTCCCCGTTTTTTCCTTTCCCGGCATTTGTTATTGATCATTGTCACTCTCTCCTAAATTTCTCACGCGAATTTTCCGGCTTTATTTTTCAGTAAGAAGGTCACGTAATGACGCGGGTGAATTACGCAAAGTGCGTGTGGTCGGAAGCAACTGTTCGCTGTTTTATTATTTATCAGAGCGCGGAGAATCGGCGCAAGCGCGACCGTTATTCCTTCGAAATCAGCGTGTTGGAGTCTTCAGTTTCGTTCGAGTGGTTAAAACGGAAGCAACGTTCTTTCGCGCGTGTCATGTGTCTGATACGTTGCGAGAAAGAACGTTGCGAAACGAATGGACATCCGTGTTGAAAAACGAACACGGAACATCGATTAGGTACGTTTAATTAATTAATTTTTGACATTCGCGTTGGTGCGAAAACATTTTTATTGTCTGTTTGTCTATTTGTTAAAATATCGCACATGTGATCGATGCGTTGATTAATGCGCAGCTAAAGTGATAAAACTATTTTGTTCGATTATACGATTAGAAATAATTTGAAAAGTGAGAGAGAAGTATATGTTTTTTTTTAATGCGTTCTAAACATCAAATTGTCTCCTTAAATTAAATGTTAACAAGCAATGCAGTGTCAATCCACATCGCTATTTCGAGTAAATTACGCCTTAAGATTAAAAAACAAAAAAAAAGATGTTTGTGTATTTTTGATATATAAAACCACATTTAAGTTTTTAAAAACACGATTGAAAAACGTTCTTTGATAGCTAAAGAAGAAGCACACCACATAAATATCTCAGTATTTAATTTTTTTGTGAGTTGACACTGCTTATTAGCGTCCAATTGTCATTACAATTCTTGTATTTTTTTCTCCTAAAGTTAATTTCGCGTGGAAAGAAGAACGGTGATGTAGGACAACGACATACTCATGAGCTGTAATCAAACAGTTTTTTTTCTCTTATAATCAGTATTATCCGGAATTAAATTTTTTATTTAGCTTACCGTGGTGAAACCCTCTAACGAGGCATCGAACAAACCTCCGGCTGTTAAGTTAGATCTAATTCTACTTCTCTGCATTATTAGCAGTATGAACTTTTGTATCGACAACGGCAACGTGTACCACCGCGTGCAATATCTGTTAACATATTGTTCTCAAAAATGTTTAAAAATAGTTTTATATAAAACACATTTAGTTTTAAATAAAATAAAAAAAAATAAAAAAAAACAAGCGCTGTCTCAACACTCACATCGTCTGGAAAATGTCGCTGCTGGTATTTATGATGTCCTGACCGACGTAGTTTCCCAAAAAGTTGTAATACAAATGCACGATTACAACCCCAAAATACAACACTATCTCTTGTTCGTTCTTCAATTCTATCGCGTTGAAGAACTAAAGTGAACGTCATTTACCACACTTATACATCTTTGGCATTTGATTACATCTGCGTTCGTTACAATAATTAAGCTTGTAAGAAGTAAGAATTGTACGGTGTTCCTTTCGCACCACGATTGCACTTTTTTTTTTTTTTTTTTTTTTATTTACTTACGTTAACGCAACTGATGCTCGTCGAGATGACTCCGAGGCCTATCAACACGAAATAGAATGTCGCGAAACTGCTCGTCATAAAGTTGGCCAAACTTCAACAAGCAAAATGCGCATCTGTCATATTAATTAATTTGTCGCGATAGAGAACATTTAGAATTTTTGCGTTCGATTTTTTTTTGTCGGGATTTTTCTCAATTAAAGTCAGTCTACGAAGAGCTTTTACTTGTCGACTCATCGCTAGAGTCTTTTATCAATTCCCAAGAACTCTTGTAAGCTTTTAAATATTTTCTTGTTTTTTTTTTTTTTGTACAATAAACAGAAGTTAACAGAGTGATGTGTTGCAAAAGTGGAGCTCGTCGAATCGTCCAGACAAAAAACGAACCTCGAACACAAAAGAATGACATACTGACGTCAGCTACTAACTTTATAGCTTTGCGATGAACGTAAACAGCGTGAACTAATTTCTTGTGAAATACACACTTCCTGATGTGTTTCGGCAGTTGCAGCATGTTATCATCAAATATTTGTTCTATTCGGTAGCTACAACAATTTAACATACATTATATATATGTATATATATATATAT